CCAGAGTGGCGAGGGCTGGCCACCCTTACTCATCCCACCAACCTCCCGCCACGCGCCGATCTGCCCCTCCCCCGCGCCCATGGGACGCCTCACGCGACGGGCAAAGTGGCCCCCTACCCACGAGTGGGCCAGCCCGCGGCCCTTAGCCGCAGCAGGCACACGCCCCCAAAACGGCCCAAGACGGCGCCACGACGGCCCAAGAGACAAGAGGGCCCAAGACGGCCCCAAGAGGGGGACCACGCACCGAAAAGTCTAGCCTTCCGCCCCAAGATGCTCCCAGGAGGCCCCCAAAACTCCCCAAGAAGCCCCAGGAAGCTCCCAAGAGGCCCCCAAGAGGCTTCGACAAACCCTCCAAAAGGGGCCCAATAGGACGCCCAAGAAGGCCGAGAGACGCCAAATGAAAAGCGATCGGTAACGCAAGAATCTCTTCATACCAAGGCTCCCAAGGGCGAACGGTGACGGAAACAAGCTGACAAGACCAAGGGTCCCAGCAGAGAGCGGCGACGCAACACGTTCTTGACACCACGGCCCAGCCACGGCCCAGGAACGGGCGGCAACGCAACAATCTCTGAGCACCAAGGCTCCCAAAAGCGAGGGGTGACGTAACAAGCACTCAACGCCAAGGTTCCTTCGAACGGTGGCGTGAGCAATTTCGGTTTCTATTTCTGCAGCGTTTTTTGAGTTTCTGTGCCGACCCAGGTAACGGAAAGAGCGAGGTACGAACGATGACGTTGTGTGTTGGACGAAGCCTCTTAAAGGGGGGCTTCCAGGGGGGCGCACGGTCTGCGGATGAGTTCTAATGGCCGTTTTCGGGTTTTCCCACGGGTTTTTGCATGTTTTTTTTCGGATTCTCCCTCGAGACGGCACAAGAGCGCTCCAAGAGAGCCCAAGACCGCCCAAGACGGCCCAAAAGGCCCCCAAGAGGCCCCCAAGGGGCGTCCAAGGGGCGTCCCAAGAGGGCCCCAAGAGGCCAAACTCAAAGATTTTCCAAAAGGAAAACGTATATTTTTAGCATATACAGCTTTTCGCCTTTCACGGCGTTGACGACGGCCCAAGAGGCCCCCCAAACCGCCCCAAGACGGCCCAAGCGGCTCCCAAGAGGCCCCCAAAACAGCCCGAGAGGGCGCCCAGACGGCCCAAGAGGCGCCCAAGACGGCCCAAGAGGGCCCCAAGACGGCCCCAAGAGGGGGACCACGAACCGACAAGTCTACTCGATCGCCCCAAGACGCCCCGGGGAGGCCCCCACAGCCCTTCAAGAAGCCCCAAGAGCCCACCAGGACGCGTCCCACGAGGCCATCAGGAGTTACCAACATCATAGATGTCTTATTGGAAAACGTACATTTTGAGCATGCACGGCTTTTCGCCTTTCACGGCGTTCAAAACGGTCCAAGAGGCCCCCAAGACCGCCCCAAGACGGCCCAAGAGGTTCCCAAGAGTCCCCCAGAACGGCCCGAGAGGGCGCCAAGACGGCCCAAGAGGCGCCCAAGACGGCCCAAGAGGGCCCCCCAGACGGCCCCAAGAGGGGGACCACGAACCCGACAGTCTAGCCTTTCGCCCCAAGACGCTCCCAGGCGGCCCCCACAGCCCCCCAAGAAGCCCCAAGAGGTGCCCAAAAGGCCTCCAAAAGGGCCCGAAAAGGGCCCCAATAGGACTCCCAAGAATGACCAGAGACGCCAAATAGAGAGCGAGCGGTCACGCAAAAAGCTCTTCACACCAAGGCTCCCAAGAGCGAACGGTGACGTACACAAGCTGATAAGACCAATGCTCCCAGCAGAGAGCGGTGACGTAACAAGTTCCTGACATCAAGGCCTAGCCAAGGCTCAGGAACGGGCGGCAACGCAACAATCTCTGAACACCAAGGCTGCCAAGAGCGCGGGGTGACGTAACAAGCTCTCAACGCCATGGCTCCCAGTACGAACGGTGGTGTGAGTAAGTTCGGTCAAGTTGTTGAAGCGCTCTTTCCGTTTCCGTGCCGGCCCATGTGACGGAAAGAGCGAGGTACGAGCGAGTGACGTTGAGTAGGGGGCGAAGCCCTTATTAGGGGGGGTCCAGGGGGGGGGGGCGAGGCGCGGGCGCAAAGTCTAATAGCCCGTTTCCCTTGTATTTTTTCGAGTGAAGCGGCTCCCGGGCGGCTCCCATGGCCAGTTTTTTTTTGTATTTTTCCCCAGACGGGCCCAAGACGGCGCCCAGAGGCCCCAAAGGTCGTCCCAAGACGGCCCCGGAGGCGCCCCAGACGGCCCCAATACGGCCAAGAGGGCCCCCAGACGGGCCCAAGACGGCCTAAGAGGCCCCAAAGATCATCCCAAGACGTCCCCAGAGGAGCCCCAAAGGGGCCCCAAACGGTCCAAGATGGCCCCCAGACGGCCCCAATACGGCCAAGAGGGCCCCGAGGGCCCTAAGAGAGCCCAAGGGGGCCCCACTAGGCTCCCCAGCGCGCCCGAAGAGGAGGAGGGGGAGGAGGAGGAGGACGAGGAGGAGGACGAGGAGGAGGAGGAGGAGGAGGAGGAGAAGGAGGAGGAGGAAGAGGA